AGGGTTCTCAAGCACTCAAGACTACTCAAGGAATTGATCAGACAAGTCCTCCTCCTAAGCAATTGACCTACAACTAGGGTTTTACTTTCTTCAAATAAAATTGAGCTTATAATGCCTCAAGTGGGTTTCATGGGTCCTCATATGTCTCAAAGTACCCTCGTGTAAAGTTTTAAGCCTTACATAACAAATTTGCTCAGTCAATTGCTCAGATGATTGAAAATCAACTGTATTGGATAAAAAGTCAACATTGGTCAATCTACAGTCAAACTTCGAGATTTTTGGTCAACATCAATATTTTAAAGTCACATTTTTGATCAAGGGTTGATCATGATTCATCAAGAAAACTCAAGATTCATCAAAATTTAAAAGTTACCAAATTATGGTTTTCTTAAGGAAAAGTCAACTGAATTTTAACCAAGCATAAGTCTCACATACTTCATCAGAAATTTCTCAAATAAATCCTAACTTAAAGGAAATTCAACTCTCTACAACTTTGTCTCTTTAAGCTCAAGGCCAAAAATGCTTCATTAAAGAGATATGAGCCCCAACATTATAGGTCATTCCAAAAGTCAACAAAAAGACATCTTTTGTCAAAGAAATTTACTTCAATTTAACGCTTCAAATGAAAAAATGACCAACATGGAGATTGTAGGGAATATCTTGAGGTTTTCAAAAAGTCAAAGATCATCTTCATATGGCAAAAATTGAGTGCGTTATGATTGGTGCAAGTTGGGTAATTTTGAGGAAATGCATGAAGTCCAAATTGAGCAAATTTGAATTTTTGGACTAATAGGCTTATCTTTTAAGGTCCAAACGTGTTCTTGACCTCATAATAGACTCCTAAATTCATTCATTTATTTTTATGGTTTTTATTTATTTTTTATTTCTTTTGATTTTGATTTTTATTCATTTAAAAGAGAAATAAATCAAATAAAATATCAAATAAATGATACGAGGTGTGTTATCTATTTTGAATCAAATCATAAGTCCAATATCACATAATCATGCTAAAAGTTTATGAGGGATCATGAAGATTGTACTTGGCACAAGATTGAGCTCAAAAAGATATGTTTCCATGAAGAAGAAAAAACCAAATCAAATATTTTATCATGAAATACAAATATTTGATTCATGTTTGTTGACCTAATTCATGGCCTATAAATAAAGAACACATTCAGACCATCAGAGGTTACGAAATTGCATCAAGAAGAACCTTAAAAAATCTCAAAATTCTCAAGAGCTAGGGCAAACACAAACCCTTATATACAACCGTTCTCAATCAGTTTTGAGCATCAATTCACCTTCCTTAAGACTCCAGGAGTTTATCCATATCATTACTCAAGCTTGAATTACGCCGGAACTCTCTCCCTCAACATCATCGGTTTTGGTAACTTTATCAATCCCAAACTATTAATTCATGTATTGTTGAATAATTTGGTGCATACATACATGTTCATGATGAGGTTTAGAACAGTTTTGATTCATTACTTGTTAAGTATAGCGCAGGAATCGAATTTCACCATTGTTGGGGCACAAAGCTCTCAAAGTTGTGAGTCTATAGTTGCAGGCTGTTTCAGATGAACTAATCACACCACTGAACTCGCACCCTCTTAATTAGCCAATTTAGACACTTTATTTTGTTATTTGATGTTAATTATACAAGTTTCAATGTTTAGCATCATCAGAGAAGATGGTTGTAACCTCCATCCACGAAGGTTGACCGACCAATTGAATCTTTGACATAGGTGTGTCACCATCTCATTCGTCCATTCAAATATCGGGACCCTACCACCAGCGTGCGTGTTCAATTTCATTTAATATCTAATTTTTTGATTTAACCTTCTTTTATATATATTGTTGTTCATATGTTTGACAATCAACAACAGGTGGCGTGGTGGTAAGATCATTGACTGGTGAAAGGAATGGTGTGGATTCAACACCCACTCCAGACTTTCTTTTTTTTTCCCATTTTTTCACTAACCCTAATTTCTTCTTATTTTCTTAACTATTTTTTAATTAATCGATAACATAATTTAATTCTTTTTAAATTAGGATTAGAGTTTTTAATGAGTAATTAATCTTTTTGATAATTTTTTATTTTACTAATTAATTAAATTAATTAACATTTTTCTTAATATTAAAATTAATTAGAATTAAGATTCTTTTAATCAATAATGAACTTTTGACATATTTTTTATTTACTAATTAATTAAGATAATTTATATTTTCTTAAATATTAAAATCATTTAGAATTTAGGTTTTGATTACTATTATCATTTAAATTATTTTCTATAAAAATACAAAAATACAAACTTAGGTTTTATAACATTCAAACATTTTTCTAAACATTTTCTTATTTCTTTTTCCTATTTATTTTCTTAGAAAGGTGTATAGGTTGTACTCTTTAATTGTAATAGTTTAGATTTATTTTCTCGCACTTTTTCTCTATTATGTATCTGCTCCCAGGATGTAATAGTTTTAGGATTTACTTTCCCGCATTTTTCTACTTATGTAACTGCCCCAAAGCTCTGTAATAGCTTAGGTCTTTACATTCCGCACTTTACTTTTCCTACTATATTTTATACTGCTAGCAACTAGGGTTTGTATGGCAAGATTAAAAACAATCGTAGGAAAACCCTAATTTTCAAGACTAAATAACTGAAACTAACACACTTTGCATACTTACACCTTTAGGATAACCCCTAGTGTTGCCTTACGGATATTGATCACGTCCTTCGAAAGTAGGGATACTTTAGCAAAAGACCCTCGATCAAATCATCATCATACAAAACATCATAGTCTCTCAATGTCCCTCGAGTTGCCTACGACTAATATGATGACAGTCCCTTACGAAATTGCTAAAGTATCCTTACATGTTGTCTTCGATGACCATACGATGACCCTACACTTGTCCCTTCATATCTAATAGATAGGGTTATCTATCAACTAATGGTACGGATAGTACTGCATTCAAAGGAGAGGGAAAAGAATAAGAACGACCATTAGTGGGTAAGAACTCTTAAGTGCTTGCTCACAAAACAAAACATTTTCTCACATCACACTTTCAAAACAAATATTTTCAAACAAACACTTTGTAAACATTCTTGAGGACTGATACAAGAATTAGAAGTTTGCCTTATATTGGCATTTCAAAATATTTTCAAACAATTCACACACACAAAGAAAAATTTAAAAAATGAGCTAAGCAATTAAGAGTTCGTAGTTAACTACGGATGAAAAGGGTGCTAACACCTTCTCTTTTCATATCTTACCCCCTCCTCCCGAACTCAAAATCTATCAAGATTTTTCCTGTTCTTTTCACTCTTTCCTAAATATTGGATAAAAGAAAAGTCAGTGGCGATTCTTGCTATCCGCACATTTGGATAAAACCAAAAAAGTCAGTTCTCCTATCGTATTACAATATCCAATAAAGATTAATTATTCTGGTTGTTCTTTGTACATTGAGTACTCTTCATTCAAATTCATCAAGGCCAATGATTACGGTTTATTTCTCTATATTTGATCAAGGACTAGTGTTGTGAGTTGTGAAGGTCTACATTCCATCATGGTTGAGTTTGCTAAATTCCATTGAAGATTCTCTGTGCTCCAAACAACATTCTTTCTCATACGTGTTTCTTGACCTGCAAGTTTGGCGTGGATTAGAAGATTGAGTTAAGTTAGGAATTCAGTGGAGATGCAAGTTGATTGAAATTTGTTCAAGGTTAATGCCGGAAAAATCCATTTGGAAGCAAGTAATAAGATTCAAGACATCTTTGGGTGAGAGAATGGCACATCATAACTGCAAAGACAAAAGGTGAAGATTTGGAACATCGAATTTCATTACAAGAAATTTTGGAAATAACTGTAAAGTGTTACTTACATACATTCATAAAACCAATTCATTACAAGGAAGTTTTCATTACAGAGCCATTGTTACACTGCCTTACATCTAGAAAAAGTACACAAATTCTACACTTTTACTTAAGTTGGCCAAAATCAAAATTTCTGCCTTGACCTATTTCTATCCTTCAGCTCCAAGCATTCTTCAAGGAATTTGAGTATTCTGCATGATACTGCAAGATATTCACCATCCCTTCATATTTCAAGTGATGCCTCACATCCATTCCTTAGTCCATGTTTTAGGCCAAAAGAAAACCTGCATTCTATCACAAACTTTACAACATTAGCATATTTCAGATTCAAACACAAAAACTCATCAAGGCAGCCAATTTCAGTACAGTTTTATCAATTGACCATTCAATAGCTGACTAACTAATCATTCAACTAACCGCTAACAAAATTTTGTTAACTAACTAACTGATTCAAACAACTTCAACTAACTCGTAATCATTTCTTATCCTCTAGCCATCTCATAACAGAACCTATAACAGCTAGCATGTTTCTAACTGAATTCAAAAATAGACATAACATATTTCTAACCTACTAACTGCTCTCATCCTCACCATCAATTGCCTAACATAATTTCCAAATCAAAGGTTGAGATTCTCTAATCTCTAACAAACTTTCACACCACATATAATAGAAACTCTCATCAGAATGATTCATTCTCCATTTCTTTTGAAAATTATCTCTTAACTTTCTCTGCTTCATCTTCGATCCCGATCACCAGAACATCACTTCATCTTCACTCTTCACTTCTCTGCACAGCATCAACAACACTGAATCATTCGTTCACCTTCAACCTTCTCTGCTCCATCAATCTTACTCTTCATCGAGCATCCTGCATCATCACCCCCACTTCTGCATAATCATCAAATTGAATCAGCAACAACAACAACAACAAAATCAACCACAACATCGACACAAGAACATCAGTGTGAATCAGCAACAGAACAAAAAGGTGAGATGTAGAAGAAGAAGAATCGAAACATACCGTGACTGAGACGTTGATGCTGAGAGCGAAACCGAACAACCGGTAATGGTGCAGATTCACGAATCGCGAATCAAAGGTTGAGATTGAACGAAGATGAAGAAACAAACTAGGGCTTGCGATTTTGAGACGGCGGCGAGCGCTGCCAAACCGAAGAAGATGAAATCGAACGCATCATCGGAGAAGCTAAGTGAGTCGTCAAGATTGTTGTCCACGGCGGCCACAATGAGGAGGCTTGCCACGGTGGCGACGGATCGGAGAAGAAGAAGAAAATTTCGTCGTTCTTTGAAAGAGAAGAAGAGAAAGAGTTTGTTTTGTGTTATCGTGAATCTGAAGTCTCAATTCGTTCAACCCTAATCCTCTCTAAACGCAACCGTTTAATCGTCGTTTCCATATCTTTTTATTTTATTATTTCAATATTCATTCATAAATAAAAGCCTGATAATTTGAATAATGGAATACTATTGAAAAATCTGAATTGTGTTTGTATATGCTTTGGGCCCCCTTGCTGCGAGTTTCCGTGTAGTCCAATGCTACATTTGTTTGAACTAAAGCCTAGCTAAACCAAAAAAAGGATCCTTCTGGACTCAAACTAGATGGGCCTTGCACCCAGGTCTTATTATTGATCATACACCTGTTCCAAGTTGGACCCCTCTGTTTAGAATTTTAAAGTTCCTTTCCTATTAATTTTTCTTTGCATAATTTCTTGTTTGATAAAATTGTGTGAATAGAACGGTAGGAAATACTGTGTGAATATATTTCTTTTTACGATCAATCCTGGTGTTAATTTTTAAATCGTTACTTGAGATATCTTAATGCAATTTTATCATGACGATGGTACTTGATCTGCAATACTTATTGGTATGATTGTATGATGATTTCAATTGAAGAATTTCAAGAGATTTTGAAGTAAATTAAGAGTTTAATCTTCATCAAGGAAATTCAAGGAGGCTTTTGGTAGAGTTTTCTCATCGCTTGCATGACTTTGAAAAGGCAACGGACCTTCTCAGTTGGGTATCATTTGAATCTATTTTATCTCTCTTGCACGTATCATGCTAGGTTTTTATTGATTGTTAGAAGCATATAGCGTTGTTGCATCTGAGTCCCTCTCGCAAGGGCAATGTTTGCTGGCATAACTTAGACATTGGTGTGATTTTTTTGTGATGTTATGCAAATCTCGAATTCTTGGGAATGTGTTCATATGGCGTGTTTGAGCAAGATTCTGTAAGTTTGGAATCCAGATTCGAATTTAGTGGGCGCAAAACAAAAAAGGCCTATCTAGAGATTCATATCCACACCTCCTTCCCTTTGTTCAAATCTGATGCCAAAAAATGCTTAGTGAGGGAAAAAGAAAAAAGGGCCTATCTAGAAATTCATATCCCCACCCCCTTGCAAATGGGCCAAAGAGCTAGTTTAGGAGTAGATTTCTTGATGGCTTTCATGATGTCTTGAAATATGATTGTCCAAGCTTGTTGCCATACTACTTGTGAATTTAAATGATTCTTATCTTGTCTATCTTGAGGTTATATGATTGATGATTCACTTTCCTTTTGCATGTTTATGCATGTTTGTTGTGATGTCCTGATTCACTTTCCTATTGCATGTTTAAGAGTACTTGTTGTGATGTCCTGATTCATTTTCCTAATGCATGTTTAGGTACACTTTGCTGTGATGTCCTGATTCACTTTAGCCTAATGCATGTTTAGGTAACCCTTGATGTGATGTCCTGATTCACCTTAGCCTAATGCATGTTTAGGTAACCTTGTTGTGATGTCCTGATTCACCTTAGCCTAATGCATATTTAGGTAACCTTTATTGTGATTCCTTGATTCACCTTAGCCTAATGCATGTTTAGGTAACATTTATTGTGATGTCCTGATTCACCTTAGCCTAATGCATGTTTAGGTACCCCTTGTTGTAATATCCTGATTCACCTTAACCTAATGCATGTTTAGGTAACCTTTATTGTGATGTCTTGGTTCACCTCATCCTATAGCATGATTCAGATAATTCATTTCTCTTGTATGTTTGTCATGATAGAGTTATCATCCTATGGTATGATCAGGATAGTTCATTTCTTTTGTACGCTTATCCTAATAGCATTCTCATCCTAGTGCATGTTTAGGATATCTTACATCTCACATATGCTTGTCAGGATATCATTCTCGTTCTATTACTTGTTTAGGATTAGTTTATGCCTAATTTAGGTTTAGGCACCCTCCCTTGAGCTTATCTTGTAGCATGTCATGATTGCTTCTCAATGCTTACCTATTACTTGTTTAGGTATCCTTGGTGTTACTTGTACACTCTCCCTGTTTGTGTGATCACTTAGCCTAGTGCTTGTTTAGGCATATTTTGTGTTACTTGCACACTCTATTTATCTGTGAGATGCCATGCCCCCTTAGGAAATTTGGTTCAACTTTGGTTAAGGTTAAGTCGAAAGTAGACTCTAGGTTTGTAAACCACGCATTATAACAATTAAGTATAATTCCCTATATCCTAACCTTAGGACCACCATTGTATGATGACATTAGGAATATAATTTCCCTTAGATTTTTCATTCCCCTTTTGCATCCTTAAAACTAAAAACTCTTTTTTTCTTTATCAAATGTCAAAAACATCTAACTTTACCCAAATCCCTTCTCAAGGTAAAAAAGACTAAACCAATTCAAACTTTTTTCCTCCGGGCTTTTCTTTTAAGAAAACCTTTTCAGGTAAGAACATGTTAATTCCTTTCTACGAAAAGCATGAGTCTCCAAAGGTCGAGCTGCGGTAGAATGTGAAATTAACACCGTTCATTAAAAAACACAAACAAACAGAAACTTTTGATCCGAACTACGATGCTCTGATTCCTTAAAAGGGATACGTAGGCATTAGGTTGCAGGGCCTAAGTGAGCACAACTATTTAAAACCTTTGTTTTCTCTGTATAATTTTCTCATGAATTTCCCTTACCTTATAAGATCTAGCATAGTTTAAAAACACATTTTTATTAAAACAACAAGAGTGGGTCCTGTGGAGTACCGCGAACGTGAGGGGTACTAATACCTTCCCCTTGCGTAATCGACTCTCATACCCGTTTCTTTGTCGTGAGACCTTGTTCTTGCTCACTTCAGGTTTACTCGATGTTTTCCTTTCCCTTCTGTGGGATAAATAACATTTGATGGCGTCTTCATTGTTCATTTTTCTGGTTGCCTCAACTGGTGACTTCACTAGGGACGCCTAAGTGAGTCAGTTCTAGCTCTTGTCTATTTAGTTTTCATTGAGTGTTTATTATATGCTTTACCTTCTTTATGTATTGAATTAATTTACTTACTTATTGTATTTATAGTACATTTTATTGCTTTCCATATTCTGGATATATATGTTGTGCTTATTGTTGGATCTTCTTTTTCAGTTTGGGTGGGTTATTACTTTGAGGTAAAAGGTCCACTACACAGACCAATGTTCACATACGTTAGAGTGGATAATTATGTTGACTCGTGTGGCGTGTTACACACAAGAGTTGGCATAACATACCGCGCCCAGAAGAGGTTCTCTTGAGAATGCCATTTTCCTGCATGTCTATGCACTAGACACGATGTTGACACAAGAGGACTCAAGACTCTGGTTGTCCATTAGGAACCCTGTTTTGATTAGAATTTACCCGTGACATGGGGTGGGAATTATTCTTACAGGTACAACTGCTGATCTTCATTATATTTGGTTCCTTGTGTTCTAAATTGGCATCGAACCTTTGATCCTATGATATTCAAACTTGGTTTCTTTATATTTTAAGATGGCATCAGACCGTTGACCTTGTGATATTCAGATGGTTCAGAAATAGTGCATAAGTTATCCATTATGTTGGAAACCTTGATCCCATATACTTTGCATACATGACATTGTTAACAACATTACTAACTTACATGTTCTTTCCATTTCCATGGAATCATATCTTTGAGCCTTTTATTGAGATTTTACATCTCTTACTTTCTTAAATCCTAATCAAGGCGTAGACTTCTTTAAAAATGATTAAACATGGCATTGCATCCACTCATGCACCTCATTCATTTCATGCATTCATAAGAGGTACTCAGAGTTAGGGATTATTATTCAGACCTGGTATTCTTTTCGAAATTGCAAATCTAGACTTCTTACCGCTCTGTGCTCAGAGATTAGCTATGGAACAACTTCATGGGGAATTAACCGAGATAAAGGTTCGGATGGGGCTGATTGTGGGAAATATGCTAACCATGGCATGTGATCAGGAACTCTTGAAAGAGAAAAACTACCAGTTGAAGATTCAGTTGAGTTTAGTTATGGAAAATCTGAATATAGTGTCGGCAAAGGAAAGTGATCCTATATATGTTACTGCAATAAGATCTATTATTCTTCCTCATCCTTTGGGGCCTCCTTTAAGTCGTGAAGTACTCAGGGATCTTTTCCACGACCTTAGATTGTTGGGTTTTACCGTCAGCAACCAGTTCTTGTCCCCCAAATGAATTCAAGGGACAACATAGACAAAAGAAGCATGAGCATCAATTGACCCAATTCCATTGCCCTTTAGCCATTAACTTTCTTGTTTGTTGGAGTTTCAGCTGATTGAGTTCCGTAATTTGGGCCTCCTCCCATAATTCTCCCTCTTAATTTTGATGTTAATGTTGCTAGATGTAAATTCTATTATAGGGCATCTGGTCATGATATTGAGGACTGCAAGAGTTTGAAGAATAAAGTCCAGCACCTAACTAGCATCTTTTCCAAAGTCCAATTCCTATTTGGAGAACCGTTTCAGACTCTTCCTCCCCAGCTGAATGTCCCTTCTGTGTGATAGAAGATGGATTGTATCTCTTTGGTGTAGTAGGAGGTGGATTGATGCTTCTGTGAAGAAGAAATAGCAGATATTCAATTCTTGGAAATTTGCTTATGTGTAGTAGAAGATACCTTAAAGTTAAAGTTCTACACTCTATCATGTTTCTTCTGTTGAATTAGAAGATACTTGGTGATTCAGTTAATGCAAGTTCGCTTGGTAAAGCATTCACCGCATCTTTTGAGAGAGTCCTCTGTGAATATCATTCTGGAGCACATGGCCATTTGGTTGAAGATGATATGTCATTCAGAGACAAGGTCCAAAAGTGGATCAATTCAAAGACTATTGTGTTCACACTAGATCAGAAGGGCAATCTCTTACCCAAGTGAGCATCAAGATTGCTGATAGTCATCAAAATCAATAAGTCCAAACAAAGTCAAGTATCCTTAATAATGGCAATCATGTGCTCTTTACTGCATTTTCATTTGTAATCTTTCTTGTTAGTTTAAACATTGTTTGC